GTGCGACAGTCGTGCGAATGAGTCAGACAAAATGGTTTCTTCCTCGAGAGCCTCGAAGAGATGACATTTCGTTAAATCTCGACCCTCTGGCCCGGGCGGTTTGTGCCGGTGACGGTTACATAAGAGGTGGTGGTGGTGGTGGTTACCATACAAAGGATAAAAATCGATAGGCCTCGAGCCAACAATCGGGTGGACAATGCGGAAAGTAGAGGATTGATACCAGTCGGATGTGCAACCTCTGACCCTCTGACCGACAGGTCTATCCGCCGCTGTTTCTGCACGTCAACACGACGCCCAGCGCCCGAGGGCTTGGGTGGCCGACCGCGAGCGATAGCTGGTCGAAGGGGGTGGGCCGTCGGTCCCAGGTGTCTGTCGGCGGTCTGTCCAATGGGGCGTGTGCGGCGGGCGGAGGCACAAAGACGGCCGGCGGCGGCGCGCTCGGCCTCGCCGGGCTGCCCTCCAGCCTGTCGCTGATTGGCTGGGTGCGGGCGAGCCTTATTGTGACAATCGGAGGCGCGAGTCGAGTCGAGTCGAGAAGAGCCGAGCCGAGCCGAGTCGGCGGAACGCGCGACCGACAGGCGAGTCGGTGTGCCGGGCGCGGGTGAGGCGAGCATCGATTTGTGTCACTCGTCTGTGCGTGTTTCACTTCGGGCCCCGCGCTCGTGAGTGGGAGTCATCGTGTCAAGCGGACAAGATACAATCTCGACCAATGAGAGCTGGGCGTCTGCGGCTGGCCGCAGCGGTCCCACTGCTCCGCCCGGGGCAGGCAGATCGGCGCTGGATCGGCCATTCGTCGTCCGTCCCGCCACAGCCTAAAGGCGTGGGGGTGGGGCAGGTTGGCGGGCGGCGGGCGGGCGGATGCGGAGACGGAGACGGAGACGGAAGAGGCCGTGCCAAGCCCCAGCCAGACAATACGTGCGTTTTCTCTTTATCCCCTCGCCTGCTTGCCCTTTCCCCTTTTTGTCCGGGCCGCGCTTCGCCTCTGCCCATAGGCCCAGCTACAATTAGGGCCCCAAACAGCGGGGTTCTCTTCTGGCCCTGATCGATGCCGCGGATCGATACGGGCTCGGATCCTGTTTTCAACTTGCCCGACCCTTCTGTCCGACCGCAGCCTCATGGTCCAACCCAGCCGTTTGCACCCACCTCCGCCTACAACACAACCTCGAAGGCGACGTCGGACGTCGCCAAGGTGACCGGACAACGCGGACCAACACTCGGTGCAGGCCGAGGAAAGCGAACATTGTTCCGCCATTCACTGCCGATGTTTACATGCCGAATGTCACTATTTTCCAGACTGTCGGTTGTCAAGTTGAGGTGCGTTTCATGCTATGCATCATACTTGTACTCTCATCATCTTCTTTTCACGCAATTGAGGTGGTATAGAAACGTGGCCAGCACCCAACCGAACCAACTATTTGTGGGTAGTTTGATGGGGAAGAGATGTTTGATTGAGGTCTCATCCGCTGTCGGTTGCTGTTGCTGCTATGCTCAGATTAAGGCACGCGTAGAAGGGAAAACAATCTTAGTACCACTTCCAGTTTAGCCTCACCAACAGAAAATTAATAATGAACAGTTTAGCAAGATTATGCTTTTGCATATTCATAGCAAAATCACTGCCATGAGGCATAGCCTAATTGGGATTAGTCATTTTTTATTCCTATTCAAGTAGGGGACGTTTATAAAGAATCAATTTCTTTGAAGATATGAAGAAGAAAATGTTGTGGCACTTCTATAAATCAATTTCTTTTGAATCTAAATTTAATGAAGTAACGAATGATTTTGTAGGGCTTTTTTTAATTACTTTTTAAGAGCGGATAAATTACTTTAATGTGTATTTTCGAGTCGAACTAAAATTCTATTTGGCTTACTCATTTCTAAGTCTAATTACTAACTCGACTTCTATATTTTGCATTTTTGTCTAATTTCTTGAAGTG